TTTGATCCCCAGCATCGTTGCTCGCTCTGGTGCTGTTACATCCCCCATCAAAGCGTGCCATTTGACAGGAAAATGGTTTTCTCTTTCGAAAGTGTCTATTCCTTTCCTTAAAAGAGAATTCACTTCTTTCACTAATCCTGACAAATATTTATCCAGATCCTGGTGCGTCTTCTCCTCATACATGCCAATGGTGAAAACATGGACATTATTTGTGTCTCCGTAAATATGCAGCCCACACATTATCGGCCACAAATGCATATTTCCCACAGTAAATCCATCGCAACAAATAATAATCTCCAAATACTTTATAAATTCCAGTGTTTCGTGCTTACCTTTCACCTCCCGTCAAAACATCCTTCTTCTTCTTCTTCATCATCAACATTTTCGATGGACGGTACCGCTGAAAATTAATATAAAAAATATCTTGCATATAAATCAAGTGTACATTATCGGCCGCAAATGCATATTTCCTACAGTAAATCCATCGCAACAAATAATAATCTCCAAATACTTTATAAATTCCAGTGTTCCGTGCTTACCTTTCACCTCCCGTCAAAACATCCTTCTTCTTCTTCATCATCAACATTTTCGATGGACGGTACCGCTGAAAATTAATATAAAACATATCTTGCATATAAATCAAGTGTGTATCTTCCTTCGAGACCACACTTCTCAAATGGTGTTTTTTCCTGCTCCGTTCCGAGAAATGTCCGTGCGTCTTTTGGTATTAACGATTGAAGCTTTTTCATGTTTCTGAACGATCCTAATACGACGGTTACGTCTTTGTGAGGCATGTGGTTTTTAAGGGCTTTTATACGGAAATTTTTCACAGTTTCTGTGAAAAATTTATAAGTTTTATTTTTAAGTTCATTTAACATATCCTGAGACGGATTAGTATCTTCTACCCCCGCCATAGCGAGGGTAGTAACGAGAAAACTTATCTACACTATAGTTAGTGAGGTTAGTTGCGCGGTTTTAATTTTTAAAAAGTTCCACGACACAAACGGATGGAGCAGATTGATCAAAGAGATTATCGAGAGCTCTGGAATGCGAGACGTCTCACAGTGGGACGAAAAGGTGTCAAAACGGGACATTCGCACATTAGACGATAATTTTTCGCCGATCTTCTCAAAACTTGACATTTTCGGTCTTTTTGGGAAAAGGAATCCAATGTTATGTTCCGAATTTGGTTCATTGTGACAATCCTGCCAAAAAATTGTGTTGCCAAGTCTCTGTTTTAATCTATTTGATAAACAGATTAGCATGATTATGGTAGAGATTTAACGCGCGTGTCGTTTGCTTTTTTTCATTGAAAAATAAAATGAATTCACTGATCCTGAAATTGAGAAATGCTTCTATTAAGAATAAACATCCCCCCCACCATCTTCTTACCTATCGCAAAAACCGCAGCGATATTTGACTATAGGGGAATGAGTTCATCAACGTGCAGACATTAAAGTGAATCCGAAAATCATAAACGAATAAGTTGCTCCCAAATATTATCATTCTTTGACACAGATGCTGTTTTTTCCCCGTTTTTTTTCAAGGACTTTTCTTCTTCCGTTTTGGAGCGTCACTTTCTAAAATCCTAATTATACGAAATATGCATCAGACACTCAAAAGTTTCAATCTTGAGATACCAAGGCAAAATTCCATACTTTAGAAACTCCGAGCTTCTTAGGGGTCTTTTCTGCACTTCTGAGATATCGTTCATAAGAATGAGGATTTATTGCCACTTAATATATTGCAAATTTTCCCATCGAACATGGTGGAATACAAATCATGGGACACTGTCAAACCGTCTACTTTGGTTAAAATTAAATTTTTAATGTCAACCTCGATTCTAAGCACCGTTTCCATCACGACATCATCCGATTCTTGTTGTTGTTTGTTCTACAAATTAAAAATAAAAAATCGGTCTACAAAAAAAGACGATATTGATCCGTATCCTAGATATCAGATGAGCATCGCAGCAAGCTGATAAGCAACGCAGCGGCGGCGCGGCGGCCAGCAACATAGCCCGTTGCACTCAACCTCAACCGTCAATTGGCCTGTGAAAGCGCTCGATTTTAAGCAAACCGCGCTCATGTTTTCCCTTGTAACTTCCAAAGTCGGAAGAAGTCGGATGAAAACTAATATGATTCTGAAAGCTAAGGATACGTAGAATCTCGATTTGCAAACCGTTTCTTGGACAAGTCTGGACATTTTTTTAAAACTCTAATTGAAGTTTGAATTTTAGTTTTTTGACTTGTCGATTTTGAATTCACTCTGTGACCCCCAGGAAGTAAAAAGTAATCATCACCAAAGACGTAAACGAATATTCTATGTTATTATTCAATTGTTAAAACAAAAAATTGCATTTAAATTCATCTCGGAAGCTAGAGGAGCAAAATTTGTATACGTGCGCTTTTGCCTCTTTTTTTCATCTTACCGAAACACGCGTTTCTCTACATCTGTCATTTGAATATTCCTCAATTTAATTGTTAAAATCTTCGTTATTCTGGAAGTTTAGACCCTCCAGGTAACTTTTACACCTTTGGTTCTTGCTTTTAATGATTTTTATTTTTACCGTGAATGTCCCGTTTCTGTAATGGGCTCGTCCCAATGTGCGTCTTGACTGTTCCGCTTATCACTCAGCACTGCCCACACATTATCGGCCACAAATGCATATTTTTCACAGTAAATCCATCGCAACAAATTATAATCTTCAAATACTTTATAAATTCCAGTGTCCCGTGCTTATCTTTCACCTCCCGTCAAAACATCCTTCTTCTTCTTCATCATCAACATTTTCGATGGACGGTACCGCTGAAAATTAATATAAAAAATATCTTACTTAAAAATCAAGTTTGTATCTTCCTTCGGGACGACACTCCTTAAATGCAGTGGCGTGGCGTGAATTGCGATACATCGATTGTTATGCCATTTAAACCTATGGTAAAGAATCGATTATTAAGGTGTTCGCTGCGAACACCCTGTTTATCGATCCTTTTCCATAGGTTTAAATGGCATAACAATCGATACATCGCAATTCACGCCACGCCACTGCTTAAATGGTGTTTTTTCCGGCTCCGTTCCGAGAAATGTCCGTGCGTCTTTTGGTATTAACGATCGAAGCTTTTTCATGTTTCTGAACGATCCTAATACAACGGTTACGGCCTCGTGAGTCATGTGGTTTTTAAGGGCTTTTATACGGAAATTTTTCACAGTTTCTTCGCATTTTTCATCTCTGGAGATCCCTTCTTTAATGTTTATATCAAGAGTATTTGGTTCCCGAATTAATATTTCAATATCTTTTTCCTCAATTGCGGGAAAATCCGCGGGGGATTATAGAGGTGCTGATTCGAAAACGTGTTAAGATGCTGAACGTGTTAAGTTGGTTCACGTCCGGAAAAAAACCACCCGCGGTGTCCGTTTTTTTCGGTGTTGACGTTCTAAAATTAAATTTCTCCACATAAAAAGATTGTTAGGAAAAGAAGGAAGAATTGTTGAAAGATTTCTCAAATCTACGACTTAAATTACCTATATTGGACGTACATATAATATAGCACACATAACATAGCACACATAAAGTGCCACTCAGCATGGTTCCTCGACAGACTTGCTCCCAGTCACTGTCTCACTTCATTGCTGCTTCGCCTCAGTCCGAACATCACTTTTGCCATCGCGCCGCTAGTGATCTCACATGAACATATTTTAAACTATCAGAGTCAGCCCGTAGCAGCGAAATTAAGAGTAATCAAAACTGTTCGCGAGGAAAACCAACTCTGCTATATATAAATCGAATCCGCCGTTGTGAACCGTCTCACAGTCCGTCTCAAAATTAAATTATTCTTAGCTCGGCAAAACTACCTCCTTTGTTGTATACGGAATTCTTGAACTCAACGAGAACATAGTAGCACGAAGATAGTATTCCTCAACTAAAATACTCAGGGTAACGCACAAGGGAATGCACGGTTCGCGGAATTCGGGAGACTATTAGCGCTGCTTAACACAAAGCTCTGATTTTTTCAACCCGAAGTCTCATACCGTAAGTGTTCGATAAAGTCTTCGGTTTTTTTTCCCTCTGAATTCATGAACTGAAACGTCACTTATGAAACTGAGCGTCCCAGGTAAAGATAATGTCCTCTCAATCGTATAATATTATCACATTTAATAGAGTGTTCTGCAATATAAGTAGGCCAAGGAAATGAACGTAATGACTTATATTGTCGCTCGGCTGACACAAGGGCGTTACTACACATTCAGATGAGCTCGGAAACGCATTGAATTATGTGGAAGACAGAATTCATCGCAGAGTGTAGTTACGCCGTTATGTCAGGTGGGCGACGATACGATTAGCGACGAGCACTCGCGGATGGAGTCCCTTAAGACGTTCGTTTGTCCGCGTCTCTCGAAGCGCCTTCACTCTACTCGGCACGCAACCTCCCCGCAACTTTCCCCGCTCAATTTTCCCGCTTGCAATAACTTCCGAGTTAGATTCTTAACATTCGCTTCGTGCTTTCTTGCTGACGGTACTCTGACTTTCTTAAGTTGTCGCTTCAATCTTCTAAAATAATTCTGCGTTTCAAATTGTGAGTATCTTTGTGGACCTTCATGAAGCTTTTCTCTTCTCTCGTAAACTCAACGAAAGCTCATTGAGTGCAGAGTATATCCAGCCTATTACATTTTTACGATGAACATCATGCATCGCTTAAATATTTCGTCTTTGTTACGTCATTGGTTTCTTTCTCAAACCCACTATGCCCGTGTCCAGCATTCGTTTTCTGACTATTTCTGCTTAAAAACCTGCTGTGACCGTCGTACGGCAGCGATCTGTGGGAATCGCCTCTGCAACAAAGGAAACTAGATATTAGATAAAAATAAAAAGAGAAGGGGGGGGGGTAAAGGGACTTGTAAACGGTTATACTCTTGAACCTGAAGCGATCGTCAAAACGGCAAAGAAATTTAACATAGCACGCTGAGAGCTTTATCTCACGGTCAGGGATCGATTGCTGCAGCTTTTAATGAAACGACCGGCTCTCTGCAGTAAATATTTAAACTGGAAACTGGATTCTTAAGTGATCCCCTTCCCGACTTGATTTTGCGTAGATTAGTATACTTGCATATTTCAAAACCCGTGGCATGACCGGGTGACGATAGTCAGACGGTGGAAATATGTATTTCTTCTCTGAAATTTTCTTCAGTGCCGTACTCCGTGCGAAAGTTCGAGAAAGCGAAGCTCCTGCAGCAAGTTTGCATAATGACAACGGTGCCGGCAGGTATCATGCGTAACTGGAGGAAGGTCTGGCTCGGGATCCAGGCGATCAAAAAGCTGTCCGCCGAGGAGCTCATCAAGGTGAGCAAATATTTTCCCGTCCTATCGAGTCATCTCGTAGCATCTTATCCTGCAAGTTGATTTTCTGCGTATCCATTTCGAGGAACAGCACTCCAAATGGACGGGGCTCTAATCGAGAGAACCTCAGCACAGTCGCAAATGGAGGGAGACGGGGGCACAATTGATGCGGCCACCCCATGCAGGTTTCACTGCCCTGGAAAAAAAAAACACATTGGATCTAGAGTCCAGACTCTTAAAAACATCGACAAGAAAAAATACTCCTGATTCAATCGGATTTAAGGTTAAATCAAGATCCCAGCCTCTTAATTTGAGCGGATTTTCTTTTGATTTAAGCTTATATCTGATTGAATCAAGTGTATTTTTTCTTGTCAATGTTTTGGACTCTAGATCTAATGTGTTTCTTTTTTCCAGTGTGCAGTTTGCGTGGACAAATGGTGTAAGTTCAGTTAAAATAAAATCACGACGTTTGCGGATTCTCATGTTTCGATGGTGGCGATTGCGCGGAAAGGCGGCGCAAGGCCGTGGAGTTTGCGGATCTGAGAGTTCTGGCGACGGCGATTGCGGACGGAGGGGTAGGCACTTACATATGCTGCCCCTCCCATCCCTGCACTGTATATTAGAGAAAAAATTATCGGAAGGACTCTGGATTCCTTTCCGGGGATGTAGAATAGGGGTGATCGAAATTCCCGACTTGAGCGCAATTCTTACGGGATAGGGAAAAAAGGTGGCCAAATTGCATGTAGATTACGGAAAAAAATTGTCCGCAGCCATAATTCCAACGGGAACATGGCGCTCAAGTCCTTCGAATATTTTCATAGTTAAATTGCCCAAAAAATCAGGTTTTTTCTTATTCGGGTCGCTGGAGGTGCCCTGAAACACGCAATTCCATCATCAAGCACATGTTTTCCTACCTATCTTTTCACGAGGAATCGATTTTACTGGTTTTCAAAACGATTTATCGATGTTTTCAAGCGATATATCGATTTTTTATTCGATTTTTGCAAAACAAATTGATAATTTTTAGCTTTTCAAGTTAAGAAATATTATATTAGAAACTTCTAGTAATAGCTTACCATAACATTATGAGTTCATAATGTTATGGGACACATACTATGGTATGTAATATAGTTTTTCAACAGCCCCTAGCTTAATTCACATACTGCATCAGAAATTCTTCACGTGGAAATCATTTTCAGCCGAAGTTTCTGACCCAATATGCTGAATTAATCTCCAGGACTCACCACGGGGAGGTGGCTGTTATAGAGTCCCACCCGTGCCACCCCATCCGGAGAGGGAGCGGGATCTTTTCGTTCACAAATTTCACTAAATCGTTGTCCGATACAAATTGCAACATTGGTGGACTGGTGATGCAATCTAAGTTATCCCAGAAAATTATTTCAGATAAGTTCTGAGCGCCGAAATTGATTGTTGGAGGACGAAATTTACGAATCTTTTTTTTTTAATTATTAACTTTATTGATGAAATACAATTGTCGCCTTTACCTATAATAACTAAGGTATTTATCGACTAGTTTTAACATTAATCATAGAGAAGCATGAAAAGTAAAAAGAAACGTATGTTAAGAGTAATAATCTTAATGCCCTTATCACGATGGTCTGCGACATGTATTGTCGCAGCCGTTGGATTAATCAGATTTCTGAAAAGATATCTACAAATTCAAGTCATAACGTCAAGCGAACGAATCCTCCAGATAGGTGGTCTTGTAAACGGGCTGAGCTCATTTCAACTATGCGAAGCGTGAGGGTAAATCAAAGACATTTGTTCTTTTAAGTCTTCTATTTATAATTGATGTGTTTAATAGTTCTAACCCAGCACTATTTGAGTGGATATGCAAACGATCTTCGTATTTTAGTGCTGTATCATTTACGAATCTCAGAAGTTTTTTTCTTCCTAGCCTCTAAAATTTTCGCGAGAGCAAATGATTGTACCTCTGCATTGGAGTCCATTAACATTGTCAGTAACACGTTTTCAACATGGCCGAAGAATGCATTTCGTTGGATAACGGGCTTCACGATATCTTGTGTCTTAGCGCAGCAGTTGCGAATGAGGCATATTATGTCAAAGAGGTGTTTTGCTCCGTGTAAACATGAATGATGCATTTTTATATTAAACCACACAGGGCCGTACACAAGAACAATGTATTTGGTAAGTATTTTTAAATTTTCGCTCGGGTTTTCGGAGCTCACATAAACACGAAGTATTCTGTTGGCGGTAGTCAGCCATCTGGCGTGGGATGTTTTTCCCGGGTCGCGGTTCGCCAAATCATCGGAGCAGCAACCGCTCACAACCGCTTGTAAAATATCATAAAAATATTTTTGGTCAGTGCTTAAGTCTTGTTTATCAACGATTGGAAGAGATGGTGAAAGTATTGGCTCAAATTCAACAATCGGATGTTTGGTGCAGTCTAGCAGTTGTTTCCCAACATCACCTGAAAATGAAGAAGGACCGGTGTGTTTACCATCGATTCCCTCAATGAGATGGCGTAAGGGCAGCTCGTTATTATGTAATAGACAAATCAGCCATTGAAAAGGTCTTTGCAATAAGATTTCTAGCTGTCGCACGACACCATTGTGGGCACCTGTATTGGTTGCCGTCCCATCACAACCTACGGCAATTAGGTCAACAGAGTTAATTCCATATTTTCAGAGAAACGACACTATGGAATTTTTGATGGAAGCTGCGCAAGATGAATTAGGAGTCATATGACCCAGGTAATTTGACCCGGGCTCCTGTATGAGAGGAATGTGCTCCTCTTGAATCCTCCTTTGGTGGGTCTTGTCACCTTTCTTCTCGGTGATTAAAGTCGCATCTTTCCGGCCATCAAAGAATAAGGCGTGCAACTTCATTTGAAGAGCCTTCGCATCTGCGACTAATCTAGAGCGACTTCGCAGCTTTGATCTCCTCACTTTATTTCGATCCACTACTGTGGATAAGTCAGCTTTGATGATGAGTCCGAAGTCCTTCAGTGTAGCAGATGCAAGACCCGCTGTAGCAGTATCTGAAATACCATATCGATCTGCCATTAAAGTAACAGAGGGTAGCGGTTTGCGCATTTGCCGAATATTGGAGGAGGCGGATGTAGAAGTGGATGGCTTGCTATGAAGTTGATAATCCGACGTTTCACTTGTGGAGCCCACACTACCATTGGATTCACTGCTACCCGGAATGTAAGAAGTATTTCGAGGCTGTATGTTCGAGCCGGTCCCTGCTTCTTCCATCTTTTTGAGTCTTGATTTGGAACGGTTTTCACGGCGTTCAAATGATTTCCTTAACTTCTTAGTCGTCTCGCCATCGATAGTCGAAATAATCATTTCTCGAGACCCTCTGATCCTTCAGGAAACTTTGTTCCACGGTTGGCACTTTCCTGTGACGGAGGCACTTACAACTTCTAAAATTAGAACATTTGCACGTTGAAATGTCAAAGAGTTCAGAAGAAAATTCGTCAAAATCGTTCTTTCGTTTTATTTTCACTGATGTGTCACCTCTTGATTTGAAAATTTTCAAGGCACCTTCGTATTCCTTATAATACAGCTCAGGGAACATGAAATGTAGAGTCCTCGGGGTCGATTACATGGGAAACCGTCTTTTTCTGGAGAATCGACGTCAATTTTGCGACCAAAGAGGGATCTTGAGAAAATTTTGGCAGGGGCGAAGCCCCCTCCTCAGGGAGTTACTTTCTGCCGTTCGGGGGGTCTATTAGAACTCTTAGGAGTCACCTTAGATGTAAATTCGTTCTGCTCCTCAATTTGGATGCAATCAATTTGCGATTCGGAAATGAGTCCCGATTTTTAAAATTGGGCCCCCCCGTTTACCCCCCAAGGGGGGCTAGAGGAGTTTCGGGACCATGAAATTTGGATTTCTCGAGGTCGATTACCTGGGAATGCGTCTTTTTCTGGAGAATCTACGTCAATTTTGAGACCAAAGAGAAATTATGAAGGGGGGTACTGTCCCCCTCTTTAGGGGATCGTTTTTGGGTCTTGGATGGTCAGATTTTGGATTTTTAGGGGTCAATTCCACGTGAAATGTTCCGTGCTTTTCAATTCTGATGCGATCTATCCGCAATTCGGTCGGGAACCGTGAGTTTTAGCATCGTGACCCCCCCTTTATCCCCCAAGGGGGGATGGAGGGGGGGTTTCGGGACCACAAAATTCGGATTCCTTGGGGTCAATTCCCTATTCAACCCCGCGGTCTCCGACTTCGTACGACCTATACCAACCGATAAAAAGGCCTGGTACGGGTGGTCTGAAACACCCTGTATTTAAGAACCCTGGATCTAACTCTACGCTCGGATACAGTCGGTAAGGATGCTGTGGTCCATATTTTTACGACTTTCCTCGCCACATCTCGCGCCACATCCTACACTCTTCGGTTGTACTTTCCCACAATGTTTTTACAGAATAAAATACACTGTCCCACTTCACTGTACAGAGGTAACTGAATTAAATTGAAGTCTTTGGGTTTTCCCCAAATAGGACACTGAACTTTCCCACGTGTTTTTCTAGCCATTTTTTACAAGAAGCTAACGCAACGTAGCTTAAACTCCGCACGACATTAACACGCACGACACGCAACTGACTTCTGAATGTCGGCCACATAGGATAGGGGTTGCATCTCAGCCCGAAAACAAACAACAACAACAGAGATGTCGTAAGTATGGCAATATTTTTGCTCACAATGCGTATTGCTACTACGAATCCATCTCAATATGTGGATTGTGATGTGGCAACTGCGGAGATTGCCACTTGTCGAGGAGCGTGACGAATTGCAAAGGCCGCGCCCGCGCCGCGACGCTGAGGATCCCCGCATTACGGGAACCATTTGCTACCCAAACTGATAAATGGTCAGTAAACGCTGCTTTACTGGTAAGTCCCTTGTGTGTGTAGGTGTATGTGAGCATCAGTTTCCTTACATGCATCGAAATCATTGTGTGTATATCACTATTTAATAGAGTTTGATTCAATTAGTGCTAAAAATTATCA